ATACAATACAAAAATGCTTTCTTTTTTCTCTTTTGACAGATTGCCTATTTGGTCTTCTTACGACTTTTTATATTTTTCCTACATGGTCACCTAGGAGGTTTTAAAGTACATTTGCTTAGACTTCAACCATATTTACACGGTAGACTATCTTTTGTTTTCTAAACTTATAAATGCTTTATGTTATATTTTGAGATGTTCAGACTTCCATTATAAAGATCATAAGCTGTAGTTTATTTTTCATGAAAGATAATAGCTGAAGAGTTGAAGAACACCATTTCTAGGACAAATGTATGTGTTCAGCTTTTGTGCTATTTTACTAGCTAAACTTTGTCTATTTTAACTATTTAACATTTTGTCTATTTGTCTATTTAACTATTTAAACTTTGCTATTTTACTAGCTAAACTTTGTCTTTGACTCAGTTTCTTCATCGCTAATAGTATCTACCTCACTGTTGCTAGAAAGTTAAATTCATATTGTGATAAGATAATGCTAGTGGCTATGAAGATTCTGGACTGAGTAAGCAAGGGAGTGGATGTAGAAGGCCAGTTAGCTATGACTGTATAGTTAAGAGATGTTAAATATGTGAGCTATTACAGTGGAAATGGGATAGAGTGAAATAGTTTTGAAAAATATTTAGGAGATAAAAGAGACTGGGCATAATGACCAATTGGATCTAATGTATATATAATGGAAAGTGAGGAGTTAAGGAGGAGCATCAATTTAGACTCAGAACAATACTATAGGACAGAGAAGAGTTGCCGCAAAGGGTTTCCAAGGCTGTAAATATTTACAGAAGCAGACTGCCAGTCTTCTCCTATGGAGTGGCTGGTTGATGAATTTTTTGTTCACATCTGAACACTGTACCCACTGCATCACCAGGACTCCTTATAGTGACTAATAGGATATTGATGCCCTAAACTGAGAAATTTTGAGAAGACTCTGGAAATATTGAATTTGAAAGTTATCCAAGTATGTATAATTAGTGAGAAGTTGAAAATACATATTTGGAATTAGGGAAATAGGTGAAGCTTGAGATACAGATTGGAAAGTCATCTGTGTTATTGTGGCTGAGGTAATTTGGGAACTCATTTTAGAAATAGAATCTTAGAGAACACAAAATTTTAATGGATTATTTATGTTGTTCTGGTTAGTTGCCATAAGGTAGGTTCCAACTCATAGCAAGCCTTTGCACAGAACAAAATACTGCCTAGTCCTGAGCCATTCGCACAATCATTGCTATGCTTGAGCCAATTATTGTAGCTGTTGTGTCAATCTGTCTTGTTGAGTGT